ATTGCACATTAAGTTGCTAATGATATGACAAAATGACTAGTTACCGTTGGACAGTTGCATATTGAACTGCTTTATTATGATTATCGCTGTATCTTATGTAAACATTCTCCTTATCTTAAAAAACAGTCATCTACATATGTGCGTAATTTATCTGTGTGATAGTCTAGATATTATTTCATTGTACCTGCACTCGCAATTAGCTGAAAGTTTTATTTACAGTGCAAACATCAAACATGTTTTATGTAATTATTAAAGCGTTAAGCATAATCATAATTACACATTATTGGTAAACAGGAATTAAGCCTAAATGTGACATGACAATTTATAGAAATACCAGTCATTATTTATAATATATCAGATTCTCTAAAAGCATATAGCATAGGAAAATATACATAACATTGAGCCAGCTTTTCTGCACATGTATTATTCAGACTTTTAGTAGTTATATTCACAATTAATAGATGTATTTTAATGTAATTACACCAATAAAGTGTTGTATTGTATCTGCCATAATTCATACATACAGTCACATTATTTGTTCTGTGTATCTGGTAGTTCATAATCCCATAACAATTCAATCTACTCCATGTATGGGGGTGCATTGTTCAACATGTACTTGTCAAACACATCTAATAACCGTAGCTGTTGTGGCTCATGTACCAGAACCTCCATTGGCACAGACACTAGCTGCTACTTATTAATTTGCTACTAAGTTCACACAGTGGTGCATGAGCTACAGCCATATTAGGGAAATTAGACATGGAAAAGGCCATTGTTTGAATAGTACCTACGAGCAGGTGCATATGGCACACGATCTGAACGAACTGAAATTTTGTCTGAAGGTAGAGTTCAGGTTTCGGTGTACATAAACTGCCTTTGTGATATTACACATTGCTGATTTCCCGTGTAAACTGTGTGTCTCGCGTTGTGGGGAACCAAGCCAACCAAGGGTAGGTGAGTGTTTTTTGCTCAGCAAACTGTATACGCCGTGTGTCTGTGTGCGGCTCTTAAGTAATTGACATAATCATACTGTCCCTGGGTTTAGCACATAGAGCATTCTAATTACAAATAAATGTCTGATACTAGTACAAACAAAATTACCCTGGGTTAAGAAAGGGTGTGGGAGCAATGTGACAGCGAGAAAGGAGGTATCAATTTCCCAATGTTCGGCAAGTGGTCCCAACAACGTTTCATGTGGATGCCTTGAATATAGACACGATTCAATTTTGCCTTGAATTGACACCCCTTTCAGAAATGTTGCAGTCGACCATAATTGGTATGTACAGTGGGGGTAGGTTTGTCCAAGCAGCTTTTTAATGGTGAGAAGTAAGATTGTAGTTCCTACTATGTCTATGCACATGATTTTGACGCCGAAGGCTAGTGCTTTGACTTCTGTTCATCCGTCTGTCTTTCACCACTCTTAACTTCGATATGTTCTGTCCAATTTATTTCAAACATATGAAACATATGAATTCAACATATGCACAGCAACTATTTTTTTGATTTAACATTTTACTAGCAAAAATGCCGGAAACTGCCATAACGTATACCGCAAACGCAATTCTAGCCTCGGTGGAAATGACCGTCATTTTCGTGTGAGGATTTCTTTGCGCAATGCTTATATGGACAACATTCTATCTCGTCAATTTCAAAGGTAAGACTGTGCTTATTTTGGTATTTATACATTTATGAATTATAGTTTGCGTGTTGTATCCCGGTTTGGTGACCGTTAGAAACTCTCGCTATTATTGAAAGAAATGATTGTGTAAATTGAAAGTTTACCTCGTAATTTAAGAGGCTTCAAACAAACAGAATACAAACAGTGTGGCGGCGCAGCCATGCTCAAAATCATTACCACCATGCTTGCTTTCGACACCTTTACCTTGTCTATGATTTCCACAGGTGTTGTCCTATAAAATGCATCCTCGCTGTTCATAAACATGCATAAACAATAACCAACGTAACGGAAGTTTATTTGGGCCGGCGTGTACTCATTGAAAGTTTTAGTCTATTTAGTTTTTCAAAAGTAGAAAGTTAATAAACATGACAACGTACTAGACTAGAATTATTGAGAAAACGCAAGTCAAGTTCGGTCAACAGAGACTATTTGAAACCAATAATGAAATTGAGAAATAATGGATAGTTCCAATTGGCGGCCATGTTTTTTAACTGTTGACAATGTGGTATTCCAGCACATGCGCAAAGCTATTAAGGGAACAGCAAAACAAAAGATTAGGGAGGGAGGGTCAAATTCACGTAATCCTCAATTAGGTATATTATTTTTAATAATTAATTTGACAACTTTGTGGAAAGGAAACAAACACTGGGGAATTAGTTCATTCTAGACTTTGGTAGAACATGTTTAAAATAGCAGTGTAAGCTGATATGTTTGCGTACTAGGAAGAATCTGTACATAAACATGTTTTTTAATTAATTTAACAGTCGATGGAAGCACATGCTACAACCTCTGCTTTTGGCTGAATGTTTTTTTGCAGGTGCATACCCAGAATCATTTTTTTCTCAGAAAGCAAAGCCAGTACTATACCATTTATTATACCTAGTCATTACCATAATTATACGATAACTGATTACCGTGATATAACTGTGTTACAATTGTACGATTTAATACACCTGGTTCACTGTACCAACACTCCTGCTCAAAACTTTCTAAAAACATTCAGCTCAATCAAGCATCTGTATATTGTTTATATTTTTATTTCTGTTAAGTTCTATATACTAAAATAGGTCAACTAAATATTGGGGGTTTATCATTTAATACAGAAATCAAATAGCAGAAATTTCAAATATTACAAAAGCATATTATTCGCTGTGTGCAATGAATGCAATGTAATGAAAGACCCAGAGACTGGGATCGGTGTGTTGCACCTTTGCTATTTGCGCACTAAGAGGTCCCCAAGCTAGTTTAGGTTTTTCGCTATTCGAAAGGGTCTATGGATGGACGGTCAGGGGACTGATAACTTTCTGAACCTCGGAAATCCTAGCTTCAGAAGTTATAGTTATAAATATAATTCACCTCGTATAATACTCATTGAGGGTGACCAGGTACTACTCAGATGGCATATTATTAAATGTGTTGGGGCAGTTTGAAAGTTATATCAAACAAACATCAAAGAGTAGGCTAAGAAAGGTTCTGATGTTCTGCAATCATCCTTGCTAATTCCTGAAAATTCGGAATGCAGTTCAGAAGTAGAACCTAACCTAACACAACACATGAACTGTGGGTTTGATAGAAGGCCAGTCATATGGTCATGGTGTTGATGATCCCGACTATAAATTTACACAATTGATTGAATTTGTACTTCCTGGTTAAGTTGGTAATGTAAGATATAGCACAAACATATTTGGCTGCCCCGGGAGACCAAAGGCCAACATGAATATTGAACCATTGACCTCTAAACCTTATTTCACTCTTTTGCCATGTTAGAAATGATAATAGAGAGATCAGACTATACGCGTCTCTCCAATAGTGATGAAAATATGTTTTCACAATTACAGGGTGGACACTACTACTAACCAAAATCGACCTAACCAAAGGGCTTTGGAAAATATATCTACCCCAGGAGATAGACAAACACAACCTATTCAACATCCCTGGGTCTTTTCTGGGTGTAAATACTTCATGGCTTAGTCATGCAGCATTCAATCATATTATACATGCTGTATTGTATC